TTACACCCCTCCTTCTGTCAAATCTCTGCAATTTCACCTAGCATGGTCCATCCCCCAGCTATGCTTTATTTTTCTCTGTAGTATCTAACATACTATATAATTTTTCATGTACATCCCTGTCTTCATTAGAATTTAAGATTCATATGGACAGTGATTTTTTTGTTTACTGCTATATCTATTCCTGGCATCTAGACAAGGGCCTGTTATAAAAAGGTGCTCCATAAATACAGGTTAAATAATATCTGTTATCTTTAAGTGTAACAAATTATCCTCCCTCCAAAGATTTGACATTCTGTTCTGTCTTCTATTTTTTTATGTGGCTAGACTTTTAATATTTAGGTCTTTAGATTTTATTTATCAGAATGAGAGAGAGAGCGAACACACACGAGGAGAGGGAGAAGTAGGCTCCCCGCCAAGCAGGGAGCCTGATACAGGACTCAATCCCAGGACCCTGGGATCATGACCTGAGCCAAAGGCAGATGCTTAACCAACTGAGCCACCCAGGCATCCCTAATATTTAGGTCTTTAATCAGAAATTTATATTATGAGCTTATTAATTTTTTGCCAAACTACCTCTTAGTCCAACATTAAATAAGACTATACTTGCTTTTTAAAACTTAATTAGCTCCTGTTAAACTCTACTTTTCCAACTAAGCACTTCTTTCCCTTTCCATTGGTGTACTTCTACCCTATAAGTGAGTCTCTGAAAATAATTAACTATATGAGAAATTATAGATTTGAATAAGACTTTGCATATGTGAAATGAAAAAAAATAATTTTCATAAAATATCTTGCAAACATCATTTCAGCTGCAAGGTATCTAGTCATTCTGTAAATAGTGAATATAAGGAAGGGGAATCAATACTATCCATAAACTATACTTGTTTAGTTTAATACTATCTACAGAGTAAGATTATCCCCAAATAACCTACGAGAATGCCAAAGTTTAGAGATTACTGACACGCCCAAATATCAAATAAATGTGGCAGAACAGGAACTGCATATAAATTTGTCCAGCTCCAAAGCCCATGTGTTTCCCACTACACCAGTAGTTTTCAATAGGGGCAATTTTGTTATCTACCAGGGGATATTTGGCAATCTGGAGACAATTTTGATTGTCATTACGGAGTGGGGGGCAGGGCAGGGGGTTGCTACAAAATACCTGAGTACTAATGTTGAGAAGCCCTGTACTATAGGACAAACTATTCATATGGCTTTTTTTTCTTTTTAATTTATACAAAGCAGAGTAAGAGTAAATCTTGATCAATCCTGATTGCATCACCTGGCAAGAAAATGAAGTCCCAGTCAGTCTGAAACACTGTCTTATCAGTGTCTGAACCTTTGAATTGAGCAGACCACACATTCCAAAAGTGATTCTCAAGCTATTAAGATAAACTCACTATGCTAAAAAATATCACAATCTCCTAATTTTCTTTGTTTTTTTGTTGTTGTTGTTAAAAGTGTTTATTTAAATTCTAGTTAACACAATCACCTAATTTTTTTTAAGGACTTATTTATTTTACAGAGGGAGAGAGAGAGGGAGAGAAGGGGGGGAGGGCAGAGGGAGAATTTCCAGCAGACTCCCTGCTAAGCACGAAGCCCTGACACAGGGCTGGATCCCACAACCCAGAGATCATGAAGTCAAGAGTTGGATGCTTAAATGACTTGAGCCACCCAGGTGCCCCAATCACCTAATTTCTAATAGTGATGCACAATTCTACATTTTAATCTCCTGTTTCTTGACTGAGCTCCAAATGTTACTTTTCAACTGCCTGCTGCATCTTAAACTAAACATTTCCAAAGTAAATTTACTTGCACTCCTTCAAGAAGTTCTCTCTTTTTAGGTTGCCCTTTTCTGTTCAGGATATAATATATTATCCTCTTTGGGGCTAGAAACCCAGTCATCTTTGTCATCTCTCTCTCTCAGCCCCACAATCAATTAGTCCCTGGTAACACTCCAAAACGTCCTTCTAAGTGCCACACAGTGCTAACTGGAGAATGGTTAAGAGCTCTGAAACCAGGATGCACAGGTCTGAACCCTAGATGTTACATAAAAACTGAGTTACTTCTGGACAAGTCACTTATCTTTCAGTGACTGTTTCCTTATCTACAAAATGAACTTAATAGTACCTTATGGGATTCTGGGAAGCTAAATAAGTTAACAGATGTAAAGCATTTAGGACAGCATCTGGCACATGGTAAATACTTAACAAGTATTAGCCGTTATTAAATTTATTATTATTAGCTGTAAGTAAGGTACTCTCAAAGGTTATCCTCTGAGAACACAATTGGGAAACATCAAGGAGTTAAAGAAAATATTAAATTTACTGTATTTGGGGCTACAAAGGTTCCATAAACACATATCAAAAACAAATGTATTAAATGAAATGTCCTAATTTTTCTTTAAAAAATTATTTTTAATAAAACAGGAATAAACCCTTTGAACTACAATGTGTGGTTTAAAAGTTTTAGTAATCTCCTGAACACAATCAAGGTGCCCTGGTTATAATCAAGAGGCCAGCATGACTACACTGTGATATCAACAAAGAAAACTTTCATGTAAATAAATAGTACTGTAAATGAAGAGTGCGTTCCTGGAAAGAAGATGGTCTTTTCTTGTATAAGAAGGCGAGTACAAAGACACAAAATTTGGCAGTGTTGCCAACACTGCGTCCCAGGAAAAGGTTGTTCCTGATCCCCCAAAGATCCTTTTCCCATTGTTGAGAATGACTTATCAGACAATCACAGCTGTATATCAGCCAGTAAGGCCATCTAGGTCTCCTCCTATTCTGATTCTATGCACCCAAATATTATCCTTTTTTTCTTAAGATTTTATTTATTTATTTGAGATAGAGATAAAATGAGCAAGGGAGGTGGCAGAGGGAGAGGAAGAAGCAGATTCCCCACTGAGCAGGGAGCCCCATGCAGGGCTCAATCCCAGGACCCCAGGATCATGACCTGAGCAGAAGGCAGATGCTTAACTGACTGAGCCACCCAGGCACCCCCCCAAAAATTATCTTACTTAATATTGGCTGAAGGAAGAGAATGTGCTGATCACTAAAAATGAGTATCTAGGTTGCCTGATACTTATAGTACTAAATGTAAATTAATAAATCAAATGCCACCTTTGATCCCTAAACCAGATGTAATCCCTGCTTTTATTTTAAAGTATTTTACTTATACTTCAACGATCACTTGTTTCATTTTTTCGCCTTCTTATTGCTAGTTTACATACTTTTCTCTTCCACCAGACTATAAGCACCTTCAAGTATATGAATAGCCCTAATTCCTTTTTTGTTTTCCACTTTCTTACTGTAGAAATTTAATTCTTAAATGTTTGATAAATAAATGAGTGGACAAATAATAGTATCATGTGGCCGTTATCTTCCCAGTAAAGGCTAAAAAGTACTCATAAAGATTGTACTTACCTTATTCTTTTCATTTTGAATAATTTCTAATAGCTGCTCTATATGCCCTTCATCTATGCATCTTTGGCCTGCTAACTGAAATAGGCCAAAATCTTCTTCTTTAAAGTCCTGTTCTTCTAGGATTTGCTGACAGAAACAAAATGAAGGCAAAACAAACATGTTTTGGTGAATAAAAATTCAGTAACTACTTGATTTATTCTCTCTGGAAAAAAAAGTAAATCTGAATTCTAGGTAAGTTGCACATAGCATATGTGTGAAAATTAGGATAAGCCTAAAAAGTACTTTAATGAATGATCTTGAAATCCAGTCCGCCAAAAAATTCTACAATAAGGATCAGTATTAAAGATTTAAAAGGTTAAACAAGTAGGTCACTTGGAGAAATAATCCAATCTGCCTTCTGGCCCTCCTGCTATTTATTCACAGGTCAAACAAAGCAAGGATTAAATAAAATAAGCAATCTGAATGACCTTAATTATAATTAAAAATAATCTGGTATTTAACTTGCATTAAAAAGAAAAAAAGTTACTTACACATCTCATTATTATGGATTGAAGCTCTTCCACAGCCATTCCTCGTTATTTTTCCTAGTTTTGATGCTGAAATATAAAACAGTTAATTACCAGTGCTATTAAAGTGTTAGTAAATTGTGTTTCATTCTGATGAATTATTAGTAAATACCGTAAGGAAAATGTGAAGTTTTAAAGCTGAAATGTTTTTACTGAAAGCATCTGAGCCTAAGGAGTAAAAAACTTGCCTCTTTTAAGTTTTCTAGGAGAACAGTTTTGAAAGATACACTGGAAAAAAAAAATCCTCTAGGGTACGCCCAACAGGAGCGCAAATATGGACTAAATAAATAGCTTTAAAAAGGCAAAGTATTTCTTTTCTGAAAAAATTTCTGAAAAGCGTTCCTGAAGTCAGTTCTAGTCATTAGGGAATTAAATTTTTTTCAACGTTCCCCCTTGACAAAAACTGGAGCCAATACAACTCACCCACAGTGGGTGAAAGTTCAGATGCCCACCGTCCCAAGTGTGACGCGGACATTCTTCTGTAAGAGATTTAGTCCCGCAAATAATCCAGTTGGTGTAATCCCTATAACGCACAGAGACGAAGCAACCAGCAGCGCTCAGGAGAACACCGTTCCGTCCCGCAAGCCATCGTTTGTCCCAGCGGGAAGACCCGGCCCCAGGCCCGCAGCAGGAGCACGGGTCAGCCGGTCCTCACGGCCGCGCGCTCCCGGGCGGATAAAACCCCAGCGCGCGTGCGGACTGCATCCAAGGGAAGCCATTTCTCCCGATTCCTGCTCGCCTAGGCGTTCGGGCCCCATGACCTCGCGGGGCCTTGCGGGCCGTGGCGCCGGGTCCTCCGCGGCTCACAGCTGGCCGCGAGCCCGGGCCCTCCCGGACTCCTAGGTGCGTCCACTTACCCGCCGGGCCTGTCGCCGCTCTCGGGGCCCTCCTCCACCTCCTCCGGCCGCGCAGGCCTCTCTCCGGGCCCCGCCCCGCCCCGGCCAGCCCCGCCCGGCGCTACGCGAGGGGAGGCGGAGCCTCGGAGGGAGACGACAGGTCCCGGCCTGAGCCTCAGATGACGCTGCCGATGGCTGACTCCGCTGGGCCGCGCTCTGCCGGTCTCAAGGCCCGGGGCCCCCGCGCCTCCAGAAACGCCGCAGGTAGGAAGAAAGCCTTCTCTCACGTTTGCACCCTGAGAACTGAGCCCCTACAGGGTTCCACAGTAAGGCCCGCGGGGCACACCGTAAAGACGGCTCCAGGAGCGGAGGTCTCCAGGGCAGAGAAGGCCGAGAGCGTCTCATCACTGACCTGGGTCTTCTTGAAAAGACCTCCGACCATACCCCCAGCTCTTTAGATTTCCCCCAGAACGGGTTGTCTCTGAGGGAAAAAGAGTAGAGGTGCTGGAGTCTAGAGCTGGCTCACTAGAGTGATCAAGTGAGCCCATCGTAGAGATGTACTGCTGCTTTGGTCCCCGGGTCCTCTGAGGTGTCACCCCCACCCCCCCCAAATATTCGGGGGACAGAAACAGGTTGTCCCTAAAAGTACCCATATCTCAGATTTTCAGGAGGACGTAACCGCCCAGCCGTGATACCTGAGAAAATTCAATCCCCCAAAAAATACATTTTAAACCGAGAGAAATCCGGAAATAACACAAGCAAACTGAATTCCCTGCCCATCTCATTTGTTTTACACACAGGATTGGAAAGTAATGTGTGGGGAAAAGAAGAAAAGGTTGTCTGCAGTTTGAGTAGGAATCTGTCCTGTAAACTAGTGTGTTTCTGAAGACTTGACCTACTGTTTTTTTATTATTATTGTAGGTGCTAAACAGACAAATGCCTTAAAACAAGAAGATGCTTCTAAAAGGTATGAGAAGTACTTGGACAACTGCATTAGCTTATCTGTTTATTTCATATTAATTGAACCATTTTTAAAAACAGTAATGGGTGATACCTTAGAAAAAATTATGGGAGAGAAGGGGAAGATCTGAGAAGCACTATAAATTCTCATATAGACTCATTATATCTCTCCACTCCAGGCTTTAAGAAAACCAAATCAAGACACTTTTAGATTGCTGGTGAAGGTATATGAGTATCTGTAGAAAGATTAAGGGAATAAACATTCCTGATTTAACCAGGTATTCCTTTTCCACCTCTTCAGGTACACTTGCCTTTTATTATTTTATATGCCAGAGACTCCAAGAAACCTTTACTGTTGTTTGTTTACATCATGTCTGCATTTTCAGCAAAAAGTCCTATTCTGTTTCTTGGCATCTCCTAAAAAGGCTAGATTTAGCTTCTGTCACAAAGAAGTTTCTAGAGTAGGAGTAGTCTATGAAAGTGATTAAAATACGTATGTCTATGGTTTATCCTTTTTAAAAAAAAAATTATTTTAGAGAGACAGTGAGTGCAGGTGTGGGGGTGCTGTGGGGAGGGGCAGAGGAGAGGGAAAGAGAAAATCTTACTCCCCCACCGAACACAGAGCCTGATGCAGGGCTTAATCTCATGACCCTGAGATCATGACCTGAGCTGAAATCGAGTCAGATGCTTAACCAACTGAGCCACCCAGGCACCTCTATGATTTATCCTTTATCAGGCAGGTATTGGCTTTCATTTACTCATCCTTTGAAAAATTATTTACCAAATTTGAGATATTCCAGACCTGTGTTAGGCCTTCAGGATATGGTTTTGAACAGAATAAACACAGTTCCTTTCTAGTGGAACAGAGAACTACCAATCAAATTATCACAACTGAATACACAGTTACATACTGTGATAAGTATTATAAAGGAAAAGACTATGATGTTATCAGATGAAACTAATAGGAGTTCAGATTAGCTGGGGATTATCAGGGAAAGACTCTCCAAGGAAGTAATAAGCTGAGACCTAGAGGTAAGTAGGCATTAACCAGAGAGTCCTGAGGAGAGACATCCAGCCAGAGATGGCAGTATGTATAAAGACCCTGAAAGAAGAAAAAGCTAGGTCAGTTCAAAGAAAGGAAGGATTCCCGTGGTAGTGTACGGCATTTTGAGCAAGGGAAGAAAGCATAGGAAAAACTTAGGACTCCATTCATGTATCTGGTGGGCCGTGGTGAGAAATTTGGATTTTCTAAGTGCCAATAGGGAAATTTCAAGTAATAGAGTGATGGAATTTAAGTTTAAAAAGTTTTACAGATGTTAGGGATGGTGATCATCTAGGAATGGAGAAATTGGATGGATTTGAGATCTATTTGTTTTTAAGATTTTTTTTTATCAGAGAGAGAGTGCACACAAGTGGGATGTGCAGAGGGAGAGGGAGAGAGAATCTCAAGCAGACTCTGCGCTGAGTGAGGAGTCTGACAAGGGGTTCAATCCCATGACCCTGACATCACGACCCGAGTGGAAACCAAGAGTCGGACACTTAACCGACTATACCACCGAAGCACCCCTTGCGATCTATTTTAGAGAATATTTCCCTGTGGAGCAGCATAATTATATTGACTTGGTTTTAAGGTACACTGCAAGAGTAAAGTTAATATTGATAATGATGGTAATTTGCAACTTTTCTCAATAGTGATCTGACCACAAACCAAAGGAGATTATATTTTATTCTGAGCAGTACAGTGTGGGAAGTATAAATACACTAGAATGTATTGTGGACAAATTACCCTGGATAAATGAAACAGTTAAAAATCCATGAAGGTAGGTAACCAAATAGTTGTTGAAGGAAGTGATCCTTTAGAAATCTATGCCAACTGAAAAATACTTCTACATTCAATCCAACCAAATACTATTAAGCCAGAAATTAAAGAACTTTGCAAAGATATAAAATAATTCTACTCTTTTCACTAAGTTTTTTATTTAAAAAGTTACTAACATGTAATGGGTTTACTATTACTATTATTACATGCATTAATAAGTGCTTTAAATTTTTCTCATTTTTAATCCAAATATGGTAAATATCAATACATATAAACCACATAAGCAGAAGTTCTAATTTTCAAAGTGTAAAGGAATGCTGAGACCAAAAAATTTGCGAACCACTGCTGTACACCATACTACCTGTCATCATTTAGGACAGAGGGCAACAGCAAGATAGGGCTGTTCATGGGAAGCAGCTCTAGGCATCAGTTAAGAGTGAGTGTGACTGGGCGCCTGGGTGGCTCAGTCGTTAAGCATCTGCCTTCAGCTCAGGTCATGATCCCAGGGTCCTGGGATCGAGTCCCACATCGGGCTCCCTGCTCGGCAGGAAGCCTGCTTCTCCCCCTCCCACTCCCCCTGCTTGTGTTCCTGCTCTCTCTGTCTCTCTCTCTGTCAAATAAATAAAAAAAAATCTAAAAAAAAAAAAAAAAAAGAGTGTGACTTACTGCAGGTTGAGGTAGTTAACACCTTGAGCCAGCAATTCCTTAGTGTGGGTTTAGACAGATCCTAGTATATGGCATAGCTTTTATTGGTAGGGAGCAATATGAGAAAAATAAAATAATGTTTTTCATAAAGCCAAATACATTTAACATAAAAAACCGCTTTTTAGTCTGTATTCATGTCTTTTATACTCCTTTGATGTAAGAATGGCCTTTGTGAAATCGTAAGAGGACAGTTGTTAGTTGCAAATTTCTTCTTGTTTTAATGTCCCTATTTGGCAAAAGAAAGAGTTGGCAATCTGGCATCATCCTTCTTTTTTGTAGATTATTGTTAATATATCTTATATTGTTTTTGTAGAATATTATTTTTCTAGGCAAGGAATTAGAGTCTAAAGTCTTGAGAGTCAATGAAAGTAGGGAGAAAAAATGAATACATTATAGATCCAGATATGAGAGCCAAGTCAAGGCCCAGGAGGCTGGCTGAGGTAGTTCTGGTAGGAAAGGAGAAACCAGTGCAGGATAGGAGCACGTAGGTTACCAAGATGGTTGAGTATCGTTGGTCCTATGGCAAGGTTTCTCAACCCTTTTGCACATTAGGATTATCTGGAGCTTGCAGTGGGACCTAGGCATAATATCTTTTAAAGAAATCTCCTTAGATGATCCTAATGTGCAGCTAGGATTGAGAACCACTCTCCTAGAGCCATTGTTTATCGTTATGTTCTGTGGTGTGTAAGGGCCAGCAAAGGCTGACAGTCCCACTGGTGCCAGGGCAAGGACCAGCCCTCATAGGAAGATTGTTTTCCTAAACTACATTGTCATGTCAATATAGTTATTTAATAAGATTTAATAACAAAAGTGAGTAAACACTTCTTTGCAGATAGGACTCTATCTTGTCAAACTGGGCTATCATTAACTTTTGAGAGTTGACACAAATAAATTTTTACTTGTAAGAACAGCTGAAGTTATCTTTTTCCTCTCTAATCTTTCCTGATTTCTAAGGATTTCAAAGGAAAAGCCTGGCTTTTTAGGTACACATAGGAGTGATTGAGAGAATATAATCACTAACTGGCAAAAAATTTCACCTCATTTTCTTCCTTGTGCTCTAAGCCTTGGAAATCAAATAGTCCTGTTATTGTGGCAGACTTCTATGTGTTAAAACTTTGAAAAATATTGTATCAAAAGTAACAGCATTAAAAAATATAAATTTAAATAGCAAAATAGCATGTTTATGCTGTGTTCTAAGACAAAATTGGCTATGATAAAACTTTAGAATAACTTTTAAATTTTACTTTGTTTATTTTTTTTAAAGATTTTATTCATGAGAAGAGAGAGGGAACACAAGCAAGGAGAGAGGCAGAGGGAAAGGGAGAAGCAGACTCCCCACTGAGTTGGAGCCCAACTCGGGACTTGACCCCAGGATCTGGAGATCAGAACCTGAGCGGAAGGCAGATGCTTAACCCTCTGAGCCACTCAGGCACCCCAAACTTTTAAATTTCAAATACTTTTTCATTTTTTAATTTTAGGAAAGCAGAACTAGAAGCAGCTGTGAGAAAGAAGATTGAATTTGAGAGAAAAGCTCTACATATTGTTGAACAGCTTTTAGAAGAGGATATTACAGAAGATTTCCTAAGGGAATGCGTATGTGTTAAATTGGGAAATTATTACATTTGTAGTATTAGATCTTTAAATCTGTGCAATATGAGACTTCCTTGTATTATCAAAACTGAATCTGTTTTTCTTCTTTAACAACTCTATTGCATTAAATTTAAAATGGAAATTTCTATTATATCCTCATAATCCTTAAGAGAAAAAAGAAAAGGATAATTAAAACTCAGAGCTTCCATTGCAAAAATAATTATTAGTGTGGGTCAGAGATTTTTCTAAACAAGAGGAATATAAATAGGACAGTATTTAAATTGATATAGGTAACTACATCAGAATCTGCATGCATGATGACACTAAAGACAAAGACAAACCAGAAATGCTTCATTTGAAACAAATACCTTCTATCACTCTTAGAAGTATTTTAGTCCCTGGGAAAACAGAAAAAACTTGTTCAAAAATGATCTCAAAGTTATGAAATAATTATGAGTTGAGATTTGAACATGAAGATATATCAAGGGGAGATATTTGGCGTCAGCTTATAACCACCTCATCAGTCTCCTGTACAGTTTTCCAGACGCTGCAAGATTTTGCATCCTGACACCTTTGATATACTTCGTTTTTTAAGATAGTTCTTTGAAAACAGGTAAATTATATTTTATTCTACATGGTTTATTTTTTGAATAATATATTTTTATTTTATTTTTTTTAAAGATTTTATTTATTTATTTGACAGAGACACAGCGAGAGAGGGAACACAAGTAGGGGGAAGCAGGCTTCCCGCTGACCAGGGGGCCCAATGCAGGGCTTGATCCCAGGACCCTGGGATCATGACCTGAGCCGAAGGCAGACACTTAACGACTGAGCCACCCAGGTGCCCCTGGATAATATATTCTTTTTTTTAAAGATTTTATTTATTTATTTGAGAGAGAGAGAGAATGACAGATAGAAAGCACAAGAGGGAGAAGGGTCAGAGGGAGAAGCAGACTCCCCGCTGAGCAGGAAACCCGATGTGGGACTCAGTCCCAGGACTCCAGGATCGTGACCTGAGCTGAAGGCAGTCGCTTAACCAACTGAGCCACCCAGGTGCCCTGAATAATATATTCTTAAAATATACTTTTCAGTGTTTTGCTTTGGAATAGCAAACACTATAGCACCACTTTTTTCTCCTGCCTCAGAATTATTTCATGAACTATATATCTACAAAGATGTATAGTCTTTTGGCAGAAGTTTTTTCAGGTTGTTTGTTTTTTTAATAATAGCTAACATTTGGGGCACATGGGTGGCTCAGTCGGTTAAGTGTCTGCCTTCGGCTCAGGTCGTGATCCCAGGGTCCTGGGATCGAGCCCCGCATTGAGCTCCCTGCTCAGCGGAGAGCCTGCTTCTCCCTCTCCCTGTGCCTGCCTCTCTGCCTGCCTGTGCTCTATCTCTCTGTCCACTAAATAAATTAAAAAAAAAATTTTTTTTTTAAATAAAACTCTTTAAAAGAAAATAGCTAACATTTCTGAGTGCCTACTATGTGTCCAGTGCTTTTCTAAATGTATTTCCTTTATTTTCTCCTCTGATTCTAACATACCTGTGAGATAGACTTATCCCTACGTTTTCAGATGAGATCAGTGAGGCTTAGATAGATTATAAATGAACTTGTCCAGTAATCTAACGGGGAAATGCCCCTCTCATTTCCTTTTAGGGGAAGTTCATCACACCTGCTCACTATAGTGATGTCGTGGATGAGCGTTCTATTATTAAACTCTGCGGTTATCCCTTATGTCAGAAGAAACTAGGAATTGTAAGTAATTAGTTTTTTAAAATAGAAGCTTAAATTTTTTATATTTAGCAAAATACTTTGTGGACAAGAAATGAAACTCAGGTCATGAACTAATTACATGAGTTAGCCAAAGATATGATATGATACTTGAATTCTTCTTAAGCTATACTTTCGTTTTTTTAGGTACCAAAACAGAAATACAAAATTTCTACCAAAACCAATAAAGTCTATGATATTACTGAAAGAAAGGTAAGCTTAAAGGCTATTCTCAATGTGGCAGTTAATTTTTAATATACTAAATGGAATTTAAAAAGAATTGTTTGAAAACTTTGCCCTTTAGAAAGTAGCCACATTAAAAGTTTATTTGAAAATATTTCATTCAAGGTGTTAGAAAAAGCTGCTTATGCTTTAATTAATACTTGAACATTTAAAAATTAAAAGTGCAAGGGCACCTGGGAAATTCTGACACATGCTACAACATGAATGTACTTTAAGACATTATGTACTTATGAGACATTATGCTAAGTGAAATAAGCCTGCACAAAAGGACAAATATTAAATGCTTCAACTTATGTGAGGTAACTAGAGTAGTTGGATTCATAGTTACAAAAGTAGAATGGTGATTAAAGAGGCAGAAATGGGGAGTTGTTTAATGGTATAGAGTTTCATTTTGCAAGATGAAGAGTTCTAGAGATAGATGGTGGTGATGGTTGTACTACAGTGAGAAGGTATTTAGTGCCACTGAACGATAACACTTAAAAATGGTTAAGATGGTAATTTTTGTGTATTTTACAACAATTTTTTTAATTTTAAAAATTCTTAAAAAAATGTTTATAGGCACATTGTAGTGATAGCCAAAAAGTTAGAAACAACTTAATTATTCATAAACAATAAAGGTAATATACTTACACAATGGAATGTAATACCGAGCATAAATATATAAGGTACACCTACATGAATCTGAAAAATATAACGTGGAACAAAAAAACCCAGAAAACATAGCAGTACAGTTACATTTACACAAAGTTTAGAATTAGGCAAAACTGAATGATATCTTTTGTAGGTATGTGTATATAGATAGCAAAACTAAAGAAAGCAAGGGAATGAGGAACACAGAATTTATGATAGTGATTACTTCTGGGGAATATGGAAATGACTCTGGGACAGATACATGGAGAGCTTCAAAGGTACTATACATTATTTCTTATCTTGGGTGGTGGATTCTTGAGTTTTCATTATTTTCTTTGAACTACATATTTATATTTTCTGTACATAAATTGTGTTGCACAATAAGAGAAAAATAATTTGCTAATTTTAAAAATGTTCCTTTCAGTGTTTTTGCAGCAATTTTTGTTATAAAGCATCTAAGTTTTTTGAAGCACAAATTCCTAAAACTCCAGTATGGGTTCGAGAAGAGGAAAGGTAATTTAAATCATTACATATACGTTTGTTGATATAGTCCAACTTTTTGAGATATATAGAAAGTAGTCCTAGTTTTCTGTAGAATTTACCATTGTACACATTTTAATTGTGGGGAAATGGCTATATTTTAAGCATAGTTATTAAGAATTTTATACTTAAAATCAGAAAATTAATAATTATAAATGTTATTTCTTAGTTGTTTTAGCTTTAGTCTCAAAACTTGAACTTTGCTTTCTGCTATGCCAATTATTTCTATTAATCCTACTAGTATAATAATCCTAGAGTAAGAGTGTTAAAGTTTTCCAAGAGATACTGGATCTTAGGATCCAGCTGACCTGACTTTGTTGTTAGAAAACTGTGTACTAAAAACAAACAAAAAATATGTACTAAGGGTAAAAAGTTCAGGTTACTAATTCACTCAATCTTTATTAAAAATCAGTACAGTATTTTATAAATTTAAAGAAATCCAATATAATTTTTAGCAAAAAGGCACATGAACATTTCTGGGGTTTTGCCTCTTGGGAAATGTTTAAACATTTGCAACATTTTAGTTGTTGAATTTGAGAGAAAATTTATTATTGAGGGGTAAATGCCATAATCTACCTTTTCTATAAAAGGTAACAAAAATTGTTGTGTAATTGAACTGTATTGTCCAATTTCAAACAGGCTTAAATGAAATAATGTCCCAGGGGCACCTGGGTGGCTCACTTGGTTAAGTGACTGCCTTTGGCTCAGGGCATGATCCCAGGGTCCTGGGATCGAGCCCCGCATCGGGCTCCCTGCTCAGCGGGAAGCCTGCCTCTCCCTCTCCCACTCCCCCTGCTAGTGTTCCCTCTCTCGCTGTCTCTCTCTCTGTCAATTAAATAAATAAATAAAATCTTTAAAAAAAAAGTCCCAAATAACTCATATTTCATAGAGAATATTTCAACACAAGGCATGTAGTAAGAGAGTATCAATGCTAAATAAACTTAATGATGTAAATGTAATGAGACCCAAGTTAACTAAAGATGTTTGCCTAAAAAAAGCTTATTAAAGTCTTATCTGATGCACAAGGTAATATGAAACCACTGTAGTTTGAACTAGCATCATTTGTACTGAGGAATAGTCCCTTTGTTGGCTGACACCTTTGCCTGCAGATCCAATGCTCTGTGGTTTAAAGTATGTCAAGGGGTGCCTGGGTGGCTCAGTTGGTTAAGCATCTGACTCTTGACTTCGACTCAGGTCATAATTTCAGGGTTGTGAGATTGAGCACCATGCCTTGTTGGGCTCTGCATTCAGCGTGGAGTTTGCTTAAGATTCTCTCTATCCTGGGGCACCAGGATGGCTCAGTCGGCTAAGCGGCTGCCTTCGGCTCAGGTCATGATCCCAGGGTCCTGGGATCGAGTCCCACATCGGGCTCCTTGCTCAGCAGAGAGCCTGCTTCTCCCTCTCCCTCTGCCTGCCTGCCGCTCCCCCGCTTGTGCTCTCTCTCACTATCTCCCTCTCTGTGTCAAATAAATAAAACTGTTTAAAAAAAAAAAAGATTCTATCCCTTCCTGCCGCCCCCCCCCCCCCCCATTCACATACTGTCTCTAAAAAAAAAAAAAAATTATGTAAAACACACCACCCTATGGCCTTTGTTAAGTGAATTACACATAATGAAGACTAAATTGTTCACTATTTCTCCACTAGCCTGACTCTTTTATTTAGAGGATAAAGAATTGTACCATTGTCCAAGGTGACTGGGGACCTAAGAGCACCTTTTTTGCTAACACTTTTTTTTCTTTCTTAACATTTCTTTCAGCAGAGCTACTCATCGCCTCCTTAGTCTTATGGCAGCTACATATTCCGTTCCTGAGCTGTTACAACTAGTGTTTCCTTAAGTTACCCTTAACTTTGTTTCCAGTGATACCTTCTCTACTTATTAAATTTAGCCCATCTTCATATCTGCTTCAAAACCATTTACCAAACAAGCCTTTCTATCACCTTCATATTCTTCAGATATAGTTATTGGTACTTCCTTCAGCTAATTTAAAAGTTCTTCCCTCTCTTTCCTAAAATCTTATTCTATGTTCAGAATGCCCACCTTTTCCCAGAATATGAAGCTCTGTCACTTTATATTTGTGGTTCTTGAAATTCCATTTTATCTATATGCCCTTCCCTACCTCACTAAAAAAGAAAGATGAAAATGGCCTTGGTTTCCTTAATCTATACAAATCAATTTAATTTAGATTCAGTGTGTTTAGTATGTGCTTAGTGTACGACAGGCTACCCACACCTGTATGAGCACATATACACTTATGAAACCAAATCTGTGAGTTTATTTTTTTGTTAAGATTTTATTTATTTTTTAAATGTTTTTTTTTTAAATATTTTATTTATTTATTTGACAGAGACACAGTGAGAGAGGGAATACAAGCAGGGGGAGCGGGAGAGGGAGAAGCAGGCTTCCCACTGAGCAGGGAGCCCGATGTGGGGCTCGATCCCAGGACCCTGGGATCATGACCTGAGCTTAACCACTGAGCCACCCAGGCACCCCCAAATCTGTGAGTTTAAATTGAAATGTTAATGGGATGGCATAACGAGTACACGAGTGAAACAAATTTGTACTTAATTCTAATGGGGACAAGTATTGGGGAGCCTTCAAATGCTTTTGAACAGAATTTGATCTGACATTGGTGTACAAGATGAATTAAAGAAGAAAAGATCATAATCAAAGAGCTGAAAGGCCCTTAGACACAATTTAACCCAACATCTTTATCAAAGGAGCTCAGAAAGATTAAATGTATTTCATAAGCTAGTGGTAGGTTCTGAACAATGCCAGGATTCCAGGTGATTGGAAGTAACTAGTGAGTAATCTACAAATATACAATTGTCACAGTGTACATAGTGTAACTGTAGCCCTTTTTTATGTATGATACTTGTCAGTATACAGCCATATTAATATCTTTTATATCTGCATGCATCAGTGTTACCTTAATTTATAAATTCTTATGGGCAAGCATTATGTTAGTTTATTTCATGAATCCACTAGAGGTCACTGTGTCTTCAGAGAATGATATTTTTAAGTGTTCTAATGATAAGAATTCTAGAATTCAGTGTTCTTTTCAAAAGCCTTTCTAGCTGGTGCACGTGTAAGCTCTACAGAAATGCGATTTTTAAAGAAAGTCTGTTCACAAATGGTATGGGGTATAACATTCAGAACCTATCTTCTTTTAAAGGGGAAAAAATGTTTCTTTTAAATGGCAGCATTTAGTATTTAATGCAGAGATATTTTTATTAACTTAAAGTCTCATCATAATAAATTACATCACCGTAATTAAATCATAATATAATTTTTATTTATTTTATTAATAATTATTAAATAATAATCTTAAATTTTTAAAAAATAAAGGAAATTTTAAAATCCAAAGAATTGAATGTTTTATCACAGTGACTTCCAAAATTTTTGAGCACCATAAGTATATTTTACATTATGATCTAATACATGTAACTCAAACAGAGTTTTATGATAACACTTTTATGTGTTATCCTTATAACACAAAAGCCTGTGATATTTTCTACTCTGTTACTTTTTTAAAATGCTGGTAGCAACCTATTTACTTGGTTGATTCTGATCCACAGTTTTAAGAGTACTGTTTTGTTGTATCTAGCTTAGGTTTTTAGTTGTGTTACTGTCAGAAAGTGTTATCCTCAACAGTAAGCCTCAGTTTCCTCATTTGCAAAGTAGAAAGTTGCATTTAACCTCTTAGTTCCCTTTAATTCTAATGTTTTACAGTTCTGAGTCAGTCACTGCCGCTGTAGTGAAAGTTTGCTAGATAGGAAATGTCTTATTTATAAAAGTGATGAAAATTAAAATTATCAGCATAAGATTAGGGAAAGTTATACTACTTTTAGGGAAGTCTGTCTCATTTACGAGTTTAGATTAAAAGTTACTGACTTAAATAATTTGAACTCTTCAGTCTGTAAAGATGAAGGTTGATAAAGGATTGGAGCAAAGTTTTTCAATTATGAAGAAAAACAGGAATGTTGTATAGCATGTCCAGAGCAACTTGAAGTTGACATCTTCAGGGACACCATGATCTTGCACACTATTTGGAAATAGAATATTGAATTTGACTCAATATAGTCTTTCTTACATTGCTGTGAAAGCTAATATAAATTTCTTCATCAGGTACCAAAATACTAAAATCTGTAGTGTCTCTTAACATTTTTAAGGTATTATTTTATATCACAGAAAGCTCACTACCTCATTGGTAAATATGTATAGATAGATTTAAGAAAGATTTAGACAAATTCATGAATTCTAGCTCCATACTTCTGTTGAGGCTTTGGAGTCAGAAGGGGCCCTAGAGGTTTTCTACTCCCTCATTTTTATTATTAAGGCATGAAAAAATTAGAATCTAGAGTATATCTTTAATGTCGTGGAGAATAGCAGTGCTTCTCACAAAATGTCTCCTGATGCTGTGTGAGAGACAAAACATTGACCTAGATGGACTGGGTGATGATGCAGTATGATGCTTCTCATGTTGTGAGTTAGAAATTTTTCACCCACTTGGTGGCCAGAAGCAGACCACATACACTGTGTTCCTCTGAGACACCGTGCTCATTTAAATAGTTGTATAGTTACACTTAGAAATCCTGTTTTGTTTGACTGTAGGCTCTGACAAGCCTTGGAAGTTTCTTTGTAACCTAAAATCAGGAGTTAAAACTAAGAAGGAAGGACAAATGTTGAGAATCAAATTATGGTTTAAAAGATAAAATTAGGGTGAATGGTTAATGCTGACAGAGCTAAAAGCGCCATCATGTGGCCCAGAGTAGGGGATTTTCACACATTGCTTCTTGGCAATAACAGTATAATCTCAGAGGTGCGGAAGCCAAAAACCTCTGCAGAACAACTTCTATAACCTCTTCCTGAACAGCCACTTCTGTTGCTTGGTATACAGAATAAAAACTTTCTGAAAGAGGTTTTTTTTTTTTTAAAGATTTTATTTATTTGTCAGAGGGAGTACAAGCGGAGG